CTGAATCTTTTTATGAATTTGTTTATAATCTTTAATTTGAATTTTTTGTAATTTTAATTAAATATCACATTAATGCTTATAAAGAATATACATGCAATTAATGAATATTAAAATTTTATAAAATGCTACAAATCACTGGAGCAAGAAGTTCGAGATATTATATAACAATAAATATGAAATTTGGATAATTTTAGATATTTTATGAATTTTTAAAATTAAAGATTTATTTATTGTGTACTTTCAAAAAGTTTCTTATATTTAGACTTAAATGTTTTCAAAATATCTTGAAATTATTTTAAAAGTTATTATTATTAAACACATTTTATGAGAGTTTTGTAAAATTTTTAAACTATATTTATTTATTATCATTATTTGAATTTTAAATATATATTTTTAATTATAAATTCATAATAAATTCAAATGATCTCTAAATTTTTTAAACTTTAATAGAGTTTTGCTTAAAATAAAATTCTAAAGAAACCCCAACATTTTTAAGTCACTGTAAATTGAATTAAATTTCCTATGGATTATTGATATTATTTAATAATTATTTTTTTTAATTTTATTTTTAATTAAAATTATTTTATTTTATATTTTTTTGTGTTTTATTTATTAAGATAATTGTTTAGTTAAATTTTGAAGCAAATTTGAATTTTTGTGGTGAGTTTATGAGATTTAGAATGTCGTGGGTGTATCTGTAATTTTTGAAATTTACATATGTATCAGTTTATTTGAAAAAAGAGCCAGATTGTTATTTTTTATTTTCTTTTGTTGGAAAGTGAGTTGGTTCAATTACAAAGTAACAAATTTTGAATCTTAATTGTTCAAGTAATTATGTTTAAAAGTAAAAAAAAAACATTTATGTAATTTTAGAAAATTATATATATACCCATCCTTACTTTTACATTTATGTATTTTCGTTAAAATTTTATTTGCTATTACTTTGAGTAAACATTTCAAAGCACATTTTATAATTTTTTTATTATTTTGAATATCCAATTTAATGATTCTGAACATTAAGGGTAAATTTGTAAGTTTAAATTTTACACCATTGCCATTAATTCATAAAATTATTATTATTAATTGTTAATCAAAATTAACCACCTTTCAACAATTGATAAAACCATTAAATTTTCATGTTGACTTAGATTGATTAAAATGTTTTAAATGAAAATGGTATATATATATATATATTTTTGAAAAATAATGAGACCAGATAGACCTCAACATATCTTTCTATGCACAGTATTTTCTCAAATTGAGTTTTCTTTTAGTCATGTGATTCAAATCAAGTATTTCACAAAATTCCATAAATTCATAAATGTGTTTTTACTAATTTAACGCAATTTTGGAAGAAAAGGATATTTATGCAAAATTCAAATCACAACATACTCATATGCATTAAGGGTGCATTTGGGGCGGAGTGCAGTGGTAGTGTGGAGCCGCACGACAGTTTTTTGCTATTTGGCAAAACTGTATATTTTGTGTTTTAAAAAAATTGGAGATGAAAGCTGTGTTTTCCCACTGTACATGTACATGTGATGACTGCTAGAAAGCTGCAGTCTAACTCTTTTTTCTTAAAAAAAAATTATAATAGTCATCACAACTTTTTTAACGATCGTTTTTTTTTCAGCAACTTCTTCAAACAGTTGCAGCCGCCTCAAACATACTCTAAATGAGTTATATTGCATGAATTATTGATTTGATCATTTCAACAAACCTCATCATATATTTTTTTGTTTTAAGTTTATGAAGTTAGTATTTATTTTCTATTTTATTTAATTATTTAAACTATTTTATTCATTTTATTATATTTGCATGAAAAAATTAGAGATTGTTATTTAATTATTATTGTCTATTTTTAAAAAAAATTAGAGTGGATTGCTATTATGAAGATATAATTTGAAATTATTTAAATTTTAATGTTATTTATTATGAATTTATTTTATTTTAATTAACAAAATTATATTTATTGTTTGGTTTCAAATTTTATTCCGCATTATATTTCAGTGTACATTGAGTTTATCATATTTCTCTTTTTCTTTTTTTTTTTCATTTTGTTTGTATTTTTATTGAATTTTGAAATCTGAAATATTTTATGTAATTTATTTAATCCATTTAATCTTAAAATACGCATTAAGAGCCACATCTGTTGGTTGGGGCCCACCTTCACACTCGAGCTCCGATTACGTCACTCATCCGTGCGACAACCTTTGATTTGTTAGGTAATCATTATTAATGTTTGGAATCGTGATCTAATACGCAATTTCACTCTCCTTTCATCGTCTGACTCGATCTCTATCGTTGAAATCAAATACACATAGATGGATAGTATCATTTCATTGTGTTAAACAGAATGGCGAACATAAGCCATCCAACAAATAACACGTGATCAAAGTGAGCAAACATCTAAATTTATGATCATTCTCAATTAGAAAGATCACTAGAACCTAAGCGGTCTATCCTATAGTTAAATTCTTATGAAACTATTTTTTTTTTCATGATAAACTAGTACTTAAGGCCTAGAGCTAAGTTTTTTATGTATACCTCAATTGCAATAATGATCCCGACATTTAGTTGCTCTGGATTGGCTTTCTGGCTCCAACATGCACTCTTCTGTCTCCATTTTGAAACTGCAATGGTTCTTTGTAGTTTCTTGATCAGATGGGCTCAGGTTGATCAAATATAGGTTTAGAGGGGTTAATCAAAGTGAAATTCAACTGATGATTGGGTTTTGTGCTAAGGGGAAGATCACAAAAGCTTTAGGTCAGAGAATTTTTGGCTGGTTTATGAGATCGGGTTGAGTCCGGGTATTGGCTTCATAATTATGGTGGAGTAAGGGGTGAGGAAAAGCTTGGAATGAGACAGGAAAGTTGTTATGGTTTGTGGGAGTTGGTTTGATTCAGATTAAGGCTATGGTATGGAGTTTTTAGGCAAGCCTACAAAGAGATGTCATGAGGGTATTTATAGGATTGAGTGGTTCAATTTGATTGTTTTAAGTGAGGGAATTGACACCAATAGTCGGTGGCTTGTTGAGCTATCAAGCTGAAGGGGCAATGTCAAAGAAGTTGACCAATCAAGAGCTGTCAAATAGGATGGTTAAAATTGGTAGGCTAGGATAGCTTCCATTGAGAGAGGGGAGAGGAAAGTTTGCAAGTTGAGCTAGCAAGTCAAAGGATAAAGTTAACGAGGGGTTGCCAATTATGATGTGTTAATCTTGGTGTGCCAACAATTTGGATTGGCCAAATTTGGTCAGTTTAATCAAGGATGGTTCCAAGGATGGGATGAGAAGCTAAGAGGTGGGTTGGTTAGGTGGAGTTTAGGAGCAAACCAATGAGAAAGAAATCAAGTAATGGCTTGGGTAAGCTTTGGTTTGAGTTGGTAGTGATTTAGGATTGCTTGATTATGATGGGAGGAGCAAACAATAGAAGAATGCCATGTAGAAGTTCAATTGGAGAAGGAATGAAGCTTGTCATGGGTAAAATCATTTGGGCTTAGGCTTGAGCTTGTTTAAGCTAGGGTTTAAGTTTGGTGTTGGGTTTACGACTTGGTACATTTAGTAATTTATTTTAGGTGGAAATTTTAATGTAAATTTACATGATTTTAAAATTAATTTAATTTATTAAATTATATAAGATTCATGTGTGGATTTAATATATTAAATTAAACATGAGTTTATGTGATTTCAAAAATTTTTTGATCAACTTAAATTGAATATAGTTTTATTTATTTATGTTTAACTGACAATACATTTTAAATTCAAATTGATTTTATTTATGCATAAATCTGAAATTTATTTTTTATTATTGAGCACGATTTATATCATTCTTTAATTAAATTTTATTTGTATTTTATTTTAATTTGATTCATGAGTTTTAGCTTTCTTGATTTCGAGTTTTATGTTTGGATTTGAACTTAGTGAATTTGGCTTTAAATTGGTTGTATTTAATTTTGCTTTTAATCATATTTAATTTGTTTTATAATTAGCTTAATTATGGTTCAAGGTGAGCACTAAACCAAATGAGTTATCTTTAAACCAAATAAGGAGCTAAGATGGAGTTCAAAAGGTTTGGTGAATTTCGAAGATGGCTAAATCAAGGGAGACTGCTTTACAAGGTCGCTTAAAGACATCAAATTCTATGAGAGACTCAACTTCAACTTCAATAACTTAATTACAATCAACTCAACAAAAAAGTGTTAAGGATTTAAGTTGAATATATGAAACTAAAGGAGTAAAGATTTGACTTGGATTTTAATTTAAGCTTTCAACCAACCACTGTTTAGTCTCTAAGGAAAACTTAAGGTTAGATTTTAAGTTGTAAGAAGAGGAGAAGAGAGAAAGACCTCATCCAAATCAACATGTGAGTATAGTCTTTTGCCATCTATTTTCATCATAGTTTTATTTGTGCATCGATAATTATAATTTTCAATTGATATTTATTATTTGCACGTATATTATTTTTGATGATGAATTGATTTTAGCATCTATGCATCAAGTTTTTTTTTTATAAATTTGAGGAACAAAAATTTTAGGGTATTTTTTGAATTATTAGAAAAATATGGTCATAAATTATTTTGACAATTTATTATAAGGGAATATCCTTATTTAACTTAAAAAAATAAAATAAAAAACAGATGAACCAACCTACCAACCTAGTCGCCCTTAGCATAGGCCATAACAGGAGCTACATTGGTTTCTGGGAAATTATATACATAGCACTTGAAATTTTTTATTTATAAAATTAGCACAGTTGTTTATTTGTTTTTTTATTATGTATTTTTAATTAAATTTAATTAACATCGAGTTTTTTTTTTTGCCCCCATAACCTACGGCAGTATCGGCCGACGGCCGGGCGTGCCGTCATGTTGAAACCTAATATTCGTATTAATTATTCATAGATCGTAATGTCCCTACGCACCGATCCGGAATTCAGTCTGAACAAGCCCGATTTAAACCCGCACCGCCTTACGTCCACCCTATAAATCTCTCTCTTGTGAAAAGGCTGCGCCTCTTTTCAGGCAGCTTGTTGCTATTCCTTCAGCGCAAACCCTATCTAGGGTTTTTCTTTTGTTAATTTAGGGTTTTCGCGCTTCCTTTTCCCTTGTTCTTATTCTTTCGTTTCCGACTTAAATCTTGCTGCAGCCATGTACGCGAACGATGCAGGTCGCAAGAGAGGTAGGCCTGATGCTGTGATTGGGAATGGCACCTTTTCAGGCTTTAAGCGTTCGAAAGGTAAGAACGCTGATTTTTCTTTCTCTTGAGCCATTTTTCTTTTGTTGTAGCTGTATGTGTGACTCTCAGTTGGATCTGTTGAGTTGTTGGGTTTTCTTCAGTTGTTTGGATTTTTGGTAAATATCTTCGGCTATGTTGGTTCGTTTTAGCTCTATTGTTTTGTGTGGATGCTGACTAAGTTGAGGCTAAGATGAAGTAGTTGTTTTGTCATATTTAGGGCATTTCTTGTCCTTAATCAATACTGAAATTGTAACTTGTTCAATTTGTTGATACCTGTTTTAGTCATTGTTGTCTTTTCTCCTGCACTGTCTAGATCTTCAATATTTAACTTCTTTGATGATTAATTATCGGAACAGATGGTAATGAGTAATAGATCTTCATAAGAAGTTGCTGTTGATGATTATTTTAGCTCATTAATCACAATTATGACAGCGCTGTAGAGTAATGAGCCTGCTATTTTTTATAAAAAATATGTTTTCCTAATTTTACTAGTTGAAAAAGACCGTTAACAAGTTTTCGAGATGTCAGAAGCTTCTGTTGTTTGGCAATAATTTACTTTTTTATGTTAAACATGTAAGTGATCTCATGCGTGAGTTTTTGGGTTTTTGTACTCTCACTAGAAAAATATAAAAAAAGCATTCCACCAATGTGATTTAATTTTTGCATTAGTAAAAGTTTTGAGTGAAACTGCTGTTAGAATAACCTAAACATCTGTTAATAAACTAATTGTTTAGGCCTAGCTTTAAACAACTTCATGCGATTTCTATAAAGTTAAATCCCAATGTTTGTTAATGGTTACATTTATTTATACATATGGTAAATTAATTAAATGAATTTTTTATTGTTCTTAATATACTCTTATACTGGCACTTTAATAATATCTTAATCAGTGTATGATGTAAATGTGTTATTTTAATCAGCAAGGCAGACCCACTTTGTTGAAGGTTCTAATATTTTTAATTCAAGTGATAATTTATTTTAAGTCATCAAGATCAATAACTAGTGAACCATTAACTGAGAAAATTAGATTAATTTCATGTAACAGAAACGGAGTCCAATCAACATGGTTTAGGAAGCAAATCGAAGCCATGCACCAAGTTTTTCAGGTTCTAATTTTTCAGGTTCTAATCTTAACCTTCTTAACCTATGCAAGATAAATATCAAAATTTGAACGAGCTATTTCTTTTAATACAATTAAACATGATTTTTTTTTTGGTAATTTCATTTGACTACAATGTTTTTTTGTAATTTCAGTCAACTATAATTTTTTCTAGTCTAATGAACTGTTGATCTAAGCTTGTGATACAGGTTCTGAATTAATCAAGATAACCAAGTTTTTGTACAGTGTAATTTGGTCACGAACAAAATCAGACATGGATTTAACTGGTACCAGCGCATGTGAAACTAAGCACTTACAGGGCCAATGGAAGTAAAAACTGTTTCATAGAAAAGGACATGGTGACAATTTTTTGAAAATTTTGAGGATTGCACCAACTATAAATTTTTCATCATAGTTTGAATATGTTTTCTTCCATATTTTTTTAAGCTAATTGGATTTGTTAAGGTCATGCATTCTTTTAACAATGGTCTTTAAATGAATGTACTGAAAGAGTTTTGTTGTAAAAGTCCTCTACTAAGTTGTAACATTTTAGTAATGCACCAACTGGATTTTATTCTCCAAATTTGAATATATTATTTTCAATATATTTTTAAATAAAATTAGATTAGGGGGAGGGTTTGATTTGGTTCAAGGGATCTCAGTAAATGAAGGAAAAAAAGGACTTGTGATAAGAATTCTTTCTTAAATCATTAAATTCCAAGAAGTATTTGATTAATGAAGGATAGCTTTCTATTGAGTATTTAATCCAAGGAGTCCTTGTTCTGTTAACCAGTAATTTTTGTTTCTTTGTTCTTTAATAGCTCTTTTCTAAATTTTTGGTCAAACTTACTTTTGTATGAGTTATTTATTTTTTAGTTCTAAATGATTGTATTCAGCCTCTTGATCTGTATTTTTTTTCAAAGGCCATAGTTATTTTGTTGCACGCATGAGTTTGATGAGCTTGCCAGAATAATTTAGTGGTTTTTTAAAGCAACAAAGAAGATAAAAATTTTATGCTCAATCTTTAACATCGAACAACTTATTTTAAAATTTTTATTTTGAATAAATTTATGCAAGCAATCTGTTGTGTGTGCAAGAAAGGAATTTATTTTGCTATTTGTGGTAGGAATCTTTTTTTATGTTGGTATTGTTGTTTCATCCTTACGGTTGGCATTAGTGCTATTATTCTGTTTTAACCTATGTTATAATCTTGATTATATTCATGATATTGTTAGCGCCACTGAAAGTGGTTTATTTTCTGTGGCATCTATTGCATCTTAATAATAGTCAAAAGTTCATTATGTTTGTAATTTTATTATATTGGGTTTTTAAATTTTTTTAGTAGATAGTGAAGACTGGCTATTATTTGTGACTTACTCCATTCTCATTTTAATTATTTTCATTACGGCAATTGTTAAATTTTAAACTTCTAAGTTTTTGATGTGGTTTAATTCTGCCTCCTGGATTAGTTGGGACTCTGATGGAATATTTGATTTATCAAGATGTTAATGTTTTTTTTTTACAAATGTGGATGCTAAAAAACCAATATGTAGCATTTTTTAGCAATTAAAAAATAGGATTTTTTAATGTTGAACAAATTGTGTATTGAGTTCCAGTAATTTATTTATTTGGATTCTTCTTAATCTATTATTTGTGACTTACTCCATTCTCATTTTAATTATTTTCAATACGGCAATTGTTAAATTTTAAACTTCTAAATTTTTGATGTGGTTTAATTCTGCCTCCTGGATTAGTTGGGACTCTGATGGAATATTTGATTTATCAAGATGTTAATGTTTTTTTTTTTTGCAAATGTGGATGCTAAAAGACCAATATGTAGCATTTTTTAGCAATTAAAAAATAACATTTTTTAATGTTGAACAAATTGTGTATTGAGTTCCAGTAATTTATTTTTTTGGATTCTTCTTAATCTATTATTTGTGACTTACTCCATTCTCATTTTAATTATTTTCATTACGGCAATTTTTAAATTTTAAACTTCTAAGTTTTTGATGTGGGTTAATTCTGCCTCCTGGGATTAGTTGGGACTCTGATGGAATCTTTGATTTATCAAGATGTTAATGTTTTTTTTTTTTTACAAATGTCGATGCTAAAAGACCAATATGTAGCATTTTTTAGCAATTAAAAAATAACATTTTTTAATGTTGAACAAATTGTGTATTGAGTTCCTGTAATTTATTTACTTGGATTCTTCTAAATGTATTTTTTAATCTTCTATGTTATACTTTCATGACCTTTCTCAACTATCTTACTTTCCAATCAAATTTGCAGCCCAACAGAGCTTTTCAATGTCTCAACTTGCCGTTAACGCACCAATTTGTCTCTCTTTCTTCCTCTCCTTCAGTTTTTCCCCTCCCTCTAGTTTACATTGCATGATAATTGTTTATACTTAGATTGGTATTAATAATTATTTTAGTTGTGGTTATATTTCTATTTTTATTCTGCAAGTCTTTCTTTTTTGAAAATCTTTCATTACAAATTTCAAATCAATTATTCCTAAGTTAGGAAGCATAAACACTTCAAAACTCCCTTTATTTCAATGTGGTACTTTTTTTAGGCATGGGCATTTCACCAACACACGCCAACTTTTGTTTGAGGTTCAAAATTGTGTCTTCTTTTAATCAATCTTTATCTTTGATCACCTCATCTAATTCCTCACTCCCTAGTTTTATGACTTTGCATTGTTCTACTCCTTGATTTTTAACTTCACTTCAGTGTTGCGTGGTAATGTCCCTTGGATTCTACGACTCAATGAGTTGGCTAATTACTTTAATTGTGTTACCATATTTCTAATTGCTACAGCTTGACTTGTGTCTAGTTTCATATTTGCATTATCTCAATGAGTTGGCTAATTACTTTAATTGTGTTACCATATTTCTAATTGCTACAGCTTGACTTGTGTCTAGTTTCATATTTGCATTATGATTGGAATGAGAATCATGCTTGAGCTTTTTATTTATTGTTCCAGTACCCATGTTATATGTGCTTGTGCACTTAATTTTACTATTGTCCTCCATCATTTCATCAAGTTTATGTGTAGCAGGATTGTTGAATTGTCTTTTTTTATTCGGTCCTGTCTGATACTCTTATGCCATTTTTTATGCAATTTTTCCAAATCTATGCAACCATAGCATGTGACGTTATGATTATGGCTCACATTCTTGTTACTCTAACATTTTTGTACCCTTAGTGCTTTTGGATTCTATGTCGCTCCCTCGTTAATTTGTTTGACATCTCACTCAATAAACTTTTGCATTATTGCTTGTTGCAATCAGCATTTGTATTCCCCATTTCCCTTTGATATTGATTCTGCGGCCGCTGCAACCCTCGATGATTAGTCAAGTCCTGATTAGTCAAGTCCTGCTTGTAGCAGTAGTGATCTTAGATAATAGTTCATTGCCTAATGAAGTCTATAGCTTTGGTCGAGCTAATTTTAGCATTTTGTATTTTTTAAATATTATCTTTGTTGAGGTAGAATTTTTTTTTCTATCTTTTAAGTTTTTTATTTTGATAATTAAAATTTTTTAAAATAATATATTGATAGTATGTTTTTAATTTTAGTAATAAATTAATAACGCTTTAAGATGGTATTTACTTTTTGGGTTATTGCTATGCTGTGTTTGTGAAATATATGATATTATTATTTTTTTTTTTGTAAAAAATGCTGCTGTCAAGTGATTTGTATTGCATCCCTTGTTTGCTTGAACCAACTTTAGCTTATGCTTTTTAATTTTAACTTCTAATTTCCATTGATATTTGAAGTAAAGTGTTTCCAAGCTCTCTGATTAAATTTTCTTTTCTTTATAAATTATAACATAATGAGCTTACCATGTTTTAAGTTAAATTAAAATTTTGTTTTATTTTCTATTAGGACATTATGTCTTGTGATAGTTTTCCGTAACTTGCTGTTTTGATCACTTTCCAATAGGTTTATTCAACCTGAGTTTTTGTTGTAGTTTTCTGAATGCACTTGGTTATTGATCATGTTTACGATGTGGTCTTAGTGTTATCCATAATTGAATACACGGATTGCCTGTTCAACCTGAGTTTTTGTTTTTGTAGTTTTCTGAATGCACTTTATTCAACCTGAATTTTTGTTGTAGTTTTCTTCAATTACTCATAATTTGCTGCTTATGATACGCCGAATTGGCATCTCATATATATATATATATAGCAAATTTGAAATGAAATTATTCCAGTAGTTTGCCTGTTTTTGACAGCCAGCATCTATCGACTAAATTGTTGTTTTTGATGTTCCTATGCGTCTTATATTTTGTATTATGTTCACTGTAGCACTGCTGGTTGTCCTTTTGGTGAGGGATGTCACTTTCTCCACTTTGTGCCTGGGGGATATAATACAGTAGCACAGATAACCAACGGGGGAATCACTGCTTTTACTGCGGCTTCAAGAAATACGATTGCACCATCCCCCATTTCGGATGGCCCTCCAGCCAACGCTGCCAAAACTCGCCTATGCAACAAGTACAATACTCCAGAGGGTTGCAAATTTGGAGATAAATGCCACTTTGCCCATGGAGAGAGAGAGCTCAACCGACCACTTCATTCTGCTCCAATGGCTCCCCCGATGGGCGGGAGATTTGGCAGTCGCCTTGAGCCTCCACCGCCTGCCGGTCTGGGTGCAGCAGCCAGTTTCGGCGCGTCTGCCACTGCCAAGATTAGTGTTGATGCTTCCTTGGCTGGTGCCATCATTGGTAAGGGTGGGGTAAACACAAAGCAGATCTGCCGTTTAACTGGAGCTAGACTGTTCATACGTGAGCATGAGAGTGATCCAAATCTCAGGAACATTGAGCTGGAAGGAACATTTGATCAGATCAAGCAGGCGACTGGGTTGGTTAGGGAACTAATTGTCAACATCAGTACTAGTGCTGCTCCTGCGCCGGTGAAAGCAGCTGCTGGTCTTGGGGCTGGCGGCGGCGGTGGTTCTGGGAGCAATTTTAAGACAAAGATGTGTGACAATTTCACCAAGGGAAGCTGCACCTTTGGAGAGAGATGCCATTTTGCTCATGGGGCGGCTGAGCTGCGCAAGGCAACTGCTTGAAATGTTTGAACCACTACTTTTTAGGGTCGTTTGTAGCGAGCGCCGGTTGGTTCGTTTTGTAGTTGACTCTGAACTGTCTGTGAACCAGTTGATTTCTTTTATTGTTGTTGCATCTATCGAGTTAATTTACCTTATGATGGTTGGCATTTATCATCCTTTCTTATCCATGTTCCTTCTGCAGCTTTATAACGCACTATTTTGGTTGCTAGGAATTTTTATTTAAAACTATTTCGTGTGTTTCGTTGTGCTGCGTTGCGGAAATCATTGATTGGAACCTATCTTACTGCAATGTGCGGTTACGATGTGGTTTATTCTTCAATAACCGATTATAAGATCTTTAATATCATTGGTTTGGTTTTCAGGAAAAGCTTAGGCGGGGCGTGGCCCCTAAGTGGTTTGGTTTTCAGTAAATGCTTAAAAGGTTGGGTCACTTTGTTGAACGTTGAGTTGATAATCTGGGTAGCCTTCCTATCATTCATGCCAGTTGGGGTGAGCGTGATTTAATGTCGTGCGCAGCAAAAATTTAAAAAGCGGCTTTACTCTAGAAGGATGAACAAGAGGATTATGAAAACAAAAAAAACTCTCGAGGTGTTGTTTGATTGTATTTTATATTATATCTAGACTTTAGAATTTTTGGCATTGAATTTGTTGAAATAGCAAATTCAAAATATATTCAAGGAATTTAAGAACTCTTTCCACAATTTTCTTACCTTATTAAGCTTAGGGCTGTAAACAAGCTGAGTTTGAGTTGAGTTTAATTAAAATCTAGAAGGCATGGAAAGTCCTTGAATTAGCATTGGACCCTTCTATCTCGCTGCCAGCCGCCCGGTTGTCAAGAGTTTTTCTTTCAAAAGTAGCAGTCTACCCCTATGGCTACTTTCTACCCAGCTAAGGGTCTGTTTGGCGCAGCGTTTTCGCTGCTGCGCGGCATCCGAACGCGAAATTCGCTCGTTTGGGGCGACGTTGGAAGAGTGGCGTCCCGCGATTTTGATCGAAAGCCGAACGCCTATAGGAGCCCGCTTCCCAGATTTCGAACACGTCATTTTACCTCGTTGCCCTGACCGATCTCTTGTTCCTCCTCTTCGCCGACCACGCTACCGAGCTTCCCGATCGATTCCCTCTTTCTCCGACTGCCTTCTGCTTCTCTCGATCGCTCCTTGCCTCATCTTCGCCGATTCCTCTTCCGCGACCACGCGACCGAGCTTCCTGATCGTGTTCCTCTTTCTCTGACTGTCTTCCGCTTCTCCCGATCGCTTCTTTCCTCCTCTTCGCCGATTCCTCTTCGCCGACCACGCGACCGAGCTTCTCCCGACCGCGTTCCTCTTCCCCGATCTCTCCCCT